CCCCCAAAAAGGTAATGTAATAATACTAGCTCTTGATAGACACATGACTAACTGTGACTTTTAGAGACCTCGCCTCGAGAAGATCAAGAGGGAGTGGAAGGCCGAATTTATCAAAGAAGATGAGGAGGAGCTCCTCAAGGAGCATAGCGACCTCAAAGAGCTTAAAAACCATCATCTCCAGAGAAAGAGAGAAGCCTGTGATGCCATCCAGGCGGAGTACCTCCGCCATCAGGAGATAATAAGAGATCTCCAAGCGCAGGCAGAGGAGGCAACTACAGCTTTTAAAGAAACTAAGGCAGCCATAAGCGAAGTAGTGCGCAAACTCAACAAAGTACATAGGCTGTGATGGTGGAAAGGAGGCAGAACTTCGTCAATACGCAGCTTTAAGGATCAAACCATTGGCACGGGGCTTTTCCTTCTTGATGTTCTGAATGGAATGAAGAGTAGCTATGTTGACTATGAGTAGATGACTAATTAATGAGCCAAGTTCACTTCATAACTCAGTAGCATAAGCGAAGTCCAATTCCTTGTAATCGCATTATCAGCAGCAGTAAATCTCGTGTACATACACAGTGATCAGCCATCTCTCTATCGAACTCGATCAATTCTCACCACGCCATATTTGTCAACGTAAGGCCTTTCTCCAGTAGTAATCCAGACTCCCGCGCTGGCTGGTGTTACACAATCAAAGCCACCATTATGCCGCCATACAGCTCCCATCTCTTCTCGAAATTTGGTTTTTGGCTTGTTATCTCTGATCCGCAGCTTTTCGAAGAAAACATACGCCGCATAGAAGACACTGCTTGTGTTGCCCGCATTGGCACCACGCTTGGAGAGAAAGTCATTGAGCAGATTGGCACTGATTTTCTTGTCTGTACCCGGATACGCAGCTTTCGCGATATCGCGCAGGAACTGAGCCTTGGTCATGTCGGGGTCACGAAGGTGCGCCGTGATCTTCCGGCGAACGACATCACAGGTGTCCCAGACGGGGACGTTCTGGTCCGACTCCCAGTCGAGATGAATTCCAGACACATCGTACTTTTCGGCAACATTCTTCTGCGATTCCTTGGTGACCCTCTTTTTTCGGGGTGGCTTGATGCCTTGCAATTCGCGTTTCTTGAAGAACCGCGCGGCGTTGATATATGTCGATGATCCAGAGCCCTTGTCGCGGCCGTTCTGGCCCATATAGACCAGGTAAGAACGCGAGGAGACGCCAATTGCGTCTTGGAACTCGCCGATTTTCATCTCTCTGCTTTCTACGAAGGCGCGAATCCGTCGACGGACTTGGTCGCAGTTCCAGTCGATGTAGTCGAGGCGTTCATCGTCGCCATCAATTTCGGGAGGGATGTTCTCAGCATTTGAAGGGTCCAGGTCTGCGGATTCCTTTTGAGAGACATTGTGTTCTATATAGCGCGGAAGGCGTCTTTTGAATATACTGAGGAGGTGACAGAGACGAGTTGACTGACAAAAATCCACGTCTCGGTTGGTGAGAAAACGCGCCGAGATAAACAGACTAAATGCCCACCTGACCGACGCGGGATATGAGCTATCACGATTACCTTCAGGGGTCACCCTGCAACGATCAGAGAAATAATAGCTCGTCAGAGTTTCATGTATCTCGCCGATTATTTTAGTATTGCCTTTATTAGAAGAAATCTTGATCGCGTTATCGCTGATTTCTCTCGAAATGCTCACTCATCTACCCCTGTTACCTATGTTTCTTTATATGACGTCATATCTAGTATACATTTTGCTCTGTTTGAACGAGCAGCCATTGGGGGCAGAGCATTATTGTCAGAGACAACATGTATGTGTATCAACTGTACGCAGTTCTTTCAGTCTCAGACGATACCTTCCTCGAATAAGTTCCGGGAAGGCACCTAATGAGATCCCGCGGGCCTGTCATCTGAGAATTTTGGGAATAACGTCGCCAGTCAAATGAAGAGACAGGGCTAATATATGGCCCGACTATGGTTGGACCCGCATGCGAGAGAGCTCTCACACTCTATGTCAATCCGCGAGCCCGCTGTGGGCAAAGCGGAGAGTAGCACGCGGCTACTCCTCCGTAGTCACCTCGATCCGGTCCCTAGAGGTATGTTTGATCAATCTCCCATTGGCATCAACCTTCTGGAAGAGATCTGGCGCTTGATCATGTGCAACGACGGTAGATATGTGGGGAAAGGGCTTCACCGAATCCCATTTGAAGTAATGCTTTTGGTTCTTCTCATCCCATTCCAAGCGCGGCACCATGCAGTAGATGCGCCTCCAGAGTCGTTGCATGAATCGCCGTGTGATTTGATGAGGTCTTCCGTTGACGAAGTCCCTAAACGTCGGCCCCTTTTTTGGTCCTTCTGTCAGAAATGCTACATCAAGACTGGTCTGGCGGGGTGAGTCCAGGGGAGCGCCAGCGGCTTTCCTTCTCTTCGGTGGTGTCCATGGTATTCTCCCAGATATCAGACCCTGCAGTGTATCGAGCTCTGCATCGGGAAGCGGCGGCAAAAGGCTGTCAAGCACAGCGTAGTACCATTTTTGCCTGATGTTCCGCCGACGACTTTTTGCAACCGGTTTGCCCCAGCTGTTTTCCGTGGGTATAGGCGGCTCTAGAGTTTTGACAACAGAGCGATCGCTGAGCTGTGAAATGACTCCATTGCGCAATTGAGACTTTAAGAGATCGAGCACAATCGTCGGAGGTTTCCAATCATCTTCGAACATGGTAGGCCTCTTCAGAATGCCTTCTACGGCCAAGGCATCGGGAGGAACTTCCGGAGCAATGAAGACACCTAGCAAATCCCTTCGTTTCTTTCCATTTCTTCCATAAGAGAGCCGGAGGACTTTTTCGAGTGGTCGAGAATAGCCTTCATTGGCACGCTTCAGTAACGATAATTTCTGGGTTGCGGTTTTGCGAAGGAGGTGCTGCCGATGTAAATCATCTTGTAGCTTAGATTGCGACTTGTCGGAATAGCGTCGAAATCTCCGGACTACATAGTCATGCATGTAACCTCTGGCGATCGGGTCAGGGAGATAGGTGCATTCGCGGAGCAAGGCACGGAAGAGATGTCGCCATTGTTCGGGGGGGATGAGCGGCGACGAGGACATTTCTCTCTTGGAAAATTTCATCGATTACAGTTCATGGAATCGCGGATATTCGTCTATGCCGCATCTTGTTAGTTGTCGCATTCACCGTTGCTCCCGGGGACAAAGAATCGAGCGGAGAACAAGTCAGTCCCCGGCCGAAAAGGGAAATAGATGGTTTTTGAGTTCGAGTTACGCGAAAACGCCAAGCGGAGAACGCGACCGTCAGGCCCCGCGACTCCTCATCACGATCTTCGTTCATTTCCATGCACGATTTACAGCTTGGTTGAATCTAGAATTGGCGAATGGATATTTCGCAGCTACAGGTCGGTTTAATCTGATTCTTGTTACTATTACATCTCTCCGTTTGCTCAGATTGGCCTGTTTTTCCGTCCCTTCCGCGATCGAGGCGCCAGCCACGCGCCCTTCGTTGCCTCCTCGCGCGACTCACCTGCTCAGTAGTTGAACAGGTGCGTTTCCCCACTCGATTTCATCCTTGTCCTGATGCGAAATCTCCCTTCATTTTTGCTTATTCTCCAAATGAGATGGAAGAATAATGATAAGCGTATGATGAGTCGCATCTTGTACTAACACACATCTCACGCTCAGACCGCGCATGTGCATGGTGTCAGGGTTCGGCATACACGACACCTCCAAGTCATGACTTCCAACAACCACCATCCACCGCGGCCCAGCTTGCCCATGTCGTATTCACAAAGCAGCTTAGGTTCCGCCAATGGGATAGCTTTCTCTCAGTCGCAAATGGGATCTTTCAATGCTTCCCAGTCCGTTGCCTCGACACCACGAGCGACACCCCCTCCGAAGAGCTCACAGCAATCGATGTCCTTCAGCTATCCAAACGGTCTTCCTGGCGGCGCGAGAGGTAGCTTTGGAGGGTTTAATGATATGAATGGCTATGGGGCAATGGTCCAGTATCAAGAGGAATACAGACCGCAGATCTACAAGGTTGGTTCATCCCTTGACATTGCGATTTTATTTACTGACCATTCTTCTTGTCGAAGGCTGTCTATTCCAACGTCTCCGTCTACGAAATGGAAGTAAACGGGGTTGCAGTTATGAAGCGTCGTTCTGATTCCTGGTTGAATGCTACTCAAATCCTCAAAGTAGCCGGCGTTGTCAAAGCTCGAAGAACGAAAACTCTCGAGAAAGAAATTGCTGCAGGCGAACATGAGAAGGTCCAGGGAGGCTATGGAAAATACCAAGGCACATGGGTGAATTACCAGAGAGGCGTAGAGCTTTGCCGTGAGTATCATGTTGAGGAGTTACTGAGACCACTTCTTGAATACGATATGGGACCCAACGGCACCGCGAATCCTGGCCATGACACTCTAGACACTCCTACAAAGGAGCAAGCAATGGCAGCGCAGAGGAAAAGGCTTTACAGCGGTGTGGATAATCGTGGGATGTCGCAACCGCAGCAGGGTACCTTCTTCCAGAATATTTCCCGGACCGCCGCAACGGCTGTCAACGCTATCAGCAAAGCTCGGTTCGATTCGCCTGCAGCAAGAAATGCCGATAGTAGACGATCGAGCATCATGCGAAAGTCGTCACATCAGATGAGCAGCCAGGAGTCTCAGCTGCCCACATTCAGCAGTCAGCAGACTATGTACAGTGTGGCGTCCGACAGTGGATTCGGCAGCAACGCTCAGAGTAATGGCCGATTCAATGGCCCTGATGTTGCCGCCTTTGAGACAGAAGAGTCGATCGAGCCGCCTCGTAAGCGTATCAGGTCGTCTTCAAACCATGTGCCGTCTTTCGGGCTTCAACGGGAGCATTCTTCCTTGTCCATGCAAGAACCCACCCCCACGGAACCGAACGACTCCTTCTACCAGGAAATGGACGGGCCAGCCTCTATGGTGGATGGTAACAGGCGTGGCTCAGACCCGCTGCCTCCTGCCACAACCCCAGAAAGGTTTCAGAAAATGAAGCTTATCATGACCTTGTTTCTTGACAAGAGGACCAAGGATTTCTCCACCCATCCGGCGTTGTTGCAACTCACTGGTGAAGATCTAGAGATTCCACTTGACGAATACCGCAACAACGCTCTTCATTGGGCAGCAATGCTTGCTCGTATGCCCCTTGTCTATGCGCTCGTTGAGAAAGGTGTGAGCATCTACCGTTTGAATGGTGCGGGCGAGACCGCTCTACAAAAATCCGTCGGGACAAGAAACAACCTCGATTACAGAAGCTTTCCGCGCTTGTTACAAGTGCTAGCTCCCACCATAGACATGGTTGACTATAGTGGACGCACGATCCTCCACCACATCGCAGTGATGGCTGCAACTGGTGGTGGTGGTCATGTGTCTGCAAAGCACTATCTGGAGGCTCTGCTGGAGTTCATAGTCCGCCACGGAGGCACGTCCATAAGCCAGCAACCTCCGAATGGGGTTGCAGGCACCAATAGTCATAAAACTCAAGCAGGTGAAGTCATCACCCTGGGCAGATTCATTTCGGAAATAGTCAATCTTCGGGATGATCAAGGGGACACTGCACTTAATCTTGCCGGGCGAGCCCGCTCTGTCTTAGTGCCTCAATTACTAGAAGTTGGTGCGGACCCTCACATACCCAATCACACTGGTCTCCGTCCTGCCGACTATGGCGTCGGCGTGGATATGGTTGACGGCAACGCTCAATCCCGACAAGGAGGAAGCAAGAATGACTCTTTCATTGATCATCTGGCCAAAACAAAGAAAGAAATCTTTGATGGTGCGAAACTCCCTCCTTCAAATCCTAAAGAGCAAGATATACTAACAACTTGAAGCAACAATGGCCCAGATTAGCGCAATCGTACAGGAGACATTAGGCGGTATCGACGAAGAACTAGCCACCGACCTGTCTAAGAAGCAAGAGAAATTTGAACATTGGCATTCCAAAATACGCGAAACCGCCAAGGCCCGTCAAATAGAGCAGAAGAAATTGGATGACCTCAAGAGCAAGTCTACAGATCGGGTCGAACTGAGCAGACGGATCAAAAATTTGGAAAGGTCATCTGAAGACCTTCTTGTGATGCTCAAAGAGATGCACGGTGGACATTTTGAGCCTTCAAAAATGACCATAATTGGTGATGCGGACCAAGATTCTGGCGTCGACATGACGGAATTTGAGGCCCTCTTTCCCGAAACCTTCGATCCTACATCAGCTTTTTCCGAAAAGCAGGTAACCTATCTCAAGTCTCTCACTTCTCCTGAGATTTTGCAACAGCGCATCAAATGCTATCAAGATTTTAATCAAGAGATACTTGCTGAAGTGGACCGTTTGAAGTCGAAGAACGTGGTGTTGGGTCAGAACTACCGTCGGATGGTTATGGCCTGTACCGGCTGGACGGCCGAACAGGTCGATGAAGCCGCCGAAGGGTTAACGCAATGCGTGAAGGAGTTGAATGACAACCCTGTTCCTGAGGATGAAGCTATCGAGATTCTCATGAGAGATCGAGGTCAGGATTGGTAAAAAGCCATGTGCCAGTACGAACGAGATTTCCATGTCATTCTTTGCGCATTAGCCCGCTGTCTCTCGGAGTTCTCGCATTTGGGTGTCGGGGATCATTGTCCATACAAAGGTTGAGGGTTTTTCTTGCATCTGTGGAGTTCTTTTTGTGCCTCGATAGGCGTTTCATGCATCTGACGTCTGTATTTACAGATACCCATGGCAACTATCACGGTCTGATACGTCACGCCACTGTACTTATACTTCTTCTGACAATGTGACAATTGTGCTTGTGTGATTATTGTCTTCCTTAGCAGTGGAGCTACGAGCATGGACGTCAATGTCGGGCAACACCCTGGTTCATTTGCTTTGTCGGAGTTTCCCCGACGACAATGACTCCAGGAATGGAACTTCGATGTGCTATTCGCCCCTTCAGGACTTGGCTGCTTCACAACTCAGTCTCAGCCTGCTGGGATCAGCCTAAATCGCTCATTTAACCGACAAAAGCATTGAAACTCCCCCGCCGGAAATGGAAGCGAAACAAGAGCCAACCCCGCCTGTCCCCAACTATGCTCTCTCTAGTGGCTCGACGTGGAGATTCAGATAAGGATTTTGCCTTTATTCAGTGTCGAGCATAGGGGCTAGTACCTATAAAGGTTTTGAAAATCCTTTGCATGACTTCAGCTACGCCACGCAAAATCGACCAAGTCGTGAACGCAACTTGAATGCAAGCACATAACAATCGCATTGATCCCTTGAAGACAAAATGGCTACTGGAATTCTGAAAGTCAAAGGAAACAAAGTCGTTGACAGCAATGGAGAGGAAGTTCTTCTTCGTGGTGCCGCTATTGGCGGTTGGATGAAGTATGCAGTAACACAACGCATCTGTTTCACTCTTTGAGGTGATATGCTAATTGACATTTTTGAAAACAGTATGGAGAACTTCATCACTGGTTACCCAGGTCATGAGTCGCAACATCGTGCTGCCATGTGCAGAGTCTTAGGGCCAGAGAAATATGAATTCTTTTTTGACAAGTGGCTCGAGTATTTCTTCACGGAAGCGGATGCCAAGTTCTTTGCTGGGCTGGGATTGAATTGCATCCGGATTCCGTTCAATTATCGCCATTTTGAGGATGATATGAACCCACGGGTACTGAAGGAGTCTGGGTTCAAGCACTTGGATCGGGTGATTGATTTGGTGAGACTCCTACAACGCAATGACGGCATGATGCTGATTTGTTATTGGGGACATGCTAGTGCGCAAAAGAGAAGATATACACCATTCTGGATATGCACACGGCTCCTGGTGGGCAGAACGGGGACTGGCATTCTGATAACCCGACCAGCTACGCTGCTTTCTGGGATTTCAAGGACCATCAAGACCGAACAATATGGCTGTGGGAGCAGATTGCAGCACGATACAAGAACAATCCATGGGTTGCTGGATACAACCCTCTGAATGAGCCATGCGATCCGGAGCACGTCAGGCTTCCGGCTTTCTATGAGCGTGTCGAGAAAGCCATCCGAGCTATTGACCCACATCATATCCTGTGGCTGGATGGGAACACTTTCGCCATGGA